TTGGATGCCTAGGCAAAGATGGGAACATGAGGCTACAACCTGGTCCGATAATAGGGAAATATTTAAAGCTGTGTAACCTTCTGGCTTACATCAAGGGAACAAGTTTCTACATTAAAGGACTAAATGTACTTTTTTCTCAAAAGAGCAGAAGCATCATTGGGATAGCTGCTCATTCTGTGGTTCCATTTCAGTATTACATGTATCGTCAATCTGGCAATATGGGCAGGTGAGTTAGATTTAACGCCGCTTTAAACAGTATTCCAGTTATATCGTGGCGTGTCAGCTTAATGTGGGAGGAAAGCCCGAAGTGATGCAGGTCTCATATGTTTACCACTTCAGTGAAACCCAGGAGCACAGGTATGGTGCTGACAAACCTAGAAACATAATCGGGGCGAACCGGGATTCGAACCCACAATCATAGGTTTCTGGCGTGCCCAAGGGACGCAACTCTGCACAGCAAATCGCGGCGCCTTAGATGACTGGGCCACCCGTGCCCCCCTCACAATATGGAACATCAACAAATAGTCATTAAATATTCAAAGAGCCTATACTGATAAAAACATGTCAATTCCCTTCATAACACTGAATTTATAGTCATATAGATCAGAATGTATTAAAAAAATGCAGCGTTCTAAATTGCATTACTTAATTTCTGTCCCGACAAGATATCATTTTGCAAAGATATCATGCATCAAACAAATGAAAAAAACCAAAATAAGTATCCATTGACATAGATATAATGGACAAAGATAAGTATTCATCTCTCAACATCACAAACATGATGCAATGCAAACACTACCACTAACAAGTCTGTGCAAGAAGTAATTTTGGGAATCAAATATGCTTGCATTTCATCTTCAATCATCTATTATAATGCAACACAAATATTTTGTTTACTTTTGCCAGATATGACAGATTAAAGAACATGTATCGGATTTTACAAAGATTTACACTTTAAAAATCTTATCAATTAAATGGCAACTCATTTGTTTCATTTTATGAATGACTGACTTGATGTGTTAAGCATTAACTATAAATTACGTTTTTTTGCCATATTTATTTTCATAATTATTGTTGAAAATCTGACCACGCTCCGTTCTTCCAAGGTCTCAAGTTTTCACTAAAAACTGTGCATGATTCATGTCAGTGACACAAAGTTAGATTTTGTATTTCACCAGTCTGATTTTCAGGCAGTTTTTTTAACCTTTGCAAGTTTTTTCGAAGAGTCGAATACATCAGAGTTCATCTCTCACAAACCTTTCTCATAATGTCAAATCAATGAATGTGCTATTCTCAAAATGACACAGATTCATCAAAGTCTTCAAAAATGGTTGGGAGGAGTTGGATTTGGATGTATTGATCTCCTATCATTTTTGTACTTCAGCTCTGTATGCTAACTTCAGCTGGTAAGTATTCTACCCTAAGAAAGGTCACAGTCAAGTGCCTAGAGGATATCAGACAACTTTCTCTCCATATTATCCATGGGTATCCTAAAGCTTTTGCTCTCTTACAGAGTGGTCTCCCTTTATCATATCAAATGTTTCAAATCTACAATCATATTTTGGACTTTTTAATTTGTAGCACTGACCTCTCATGAAGGCACACTGATTACTAAGAGGCATCATCACATTTCAACCTACACGTCTTGTGGAAGCACCATAGGTACCTTGATAAAGACCAAATAAATATATTTGAGTGCTAGCTTATGATGTTCATAAATCCACAGAACTATTGTTTTGACGAAGAAATACAGACATGACTATGAAGATTCTAAAGCTGTATGAGTAGCTACGTTATCTCCATTTTCCTGAGGCAAGGGAGCTAACTGACTGTACAAGTCCAGGTTCCACCCTTGCTGAACTAGGCTGTTATTATGGAGTTATATTTTCGCTGGACAAACGAGTCTATGCATAATCCAATCAAAACAGCGTAACGAAATTGACATCTTGTTCGCAAACAACATGGATTTCAACTGCAGATTTTGGTCCACTGCAGAATTTCCAAAGGATGTGAACCATCAACTGGTCGTTGACAGATTTTTTCATGTTTTTAATCAAGGTGCTCATGTGATTTGATGCACTTCACAAGGTAAGATCCTTTTTTTAACAAGATAGATCTTAATCATCGATCAGAACATCTTGACTGGGCTTTGCCATTTTGTTTGAAAACAATGCAGTTGGTGGAATCTGATAGGAGGGGCATAAAAGGGGCATAACTCGTAATAGCCACTGGTGGCACTACGACCGAGCCCAGAAATTCCAGCCTAGTTCGGCAAGGGTGGAAACTGGACTTTTACAGTCAGTTAATACCCTTGCCTAGGGAAGATGGATTATCTCCATTATCAAACTCACCACACAGTCAGCACTTGTAAATTCAAAGTGCTTGACCCTTATCAACTAGAACGATAGTTCACCGAGTTATTTAAGAGCATTCTATGACATAAATAACTTGCCTTCAGGATTTGCTAAGACAGTAAAGGGGATCAAAGGGTAATATATCAAAGATGGAAAAATGTAAACTACAAAGATAGAACTATAACCCTAAGATATACACGGGGAATAATAAGCAAAGATCACCCACACCCTGTAAAATGTGTTCTTGTCTACTTTCCTGTCATGTCATATATCATTCACTAACTACATGTATACAAAGCACTATCACTACACTAAGTGATTAGCATGTCAAAACTACCAGTGATTATCATGTGACAAAGGTTATATTTGGGATAACATTTTCTTAGTAAGTACAAATTCTAGTACTTTTTGATTATCCTGTCTTGTCACAGCCTTGTGTACATACAAAGGATTATATTGTGTTAGAACATGTACCCTCTACTTAACACATATTTACATATATTTTAATGTCACAACAAGGACAAGATTAGTTAAACAGTCATATACTGGTTAGGACATCCAACTTTTGACTGAGTGAGATAAAGTTATTTATTACTTGCCTGTGAAGAGATCACCCGTTTGATAAACATACAGTTGATTACACATTGTGTAATACTAAAACGCGTGCTTATGTACTCTCGGAACACGTTTCACGAACAAATATTGAAAGCTCTCAATATACCTTGGATTATTCAACGACATTGTGTGTGGAGATGATAGATCACTGAGAGGGGCTTATGCACACTCGATGACCCCAGCAACCTTGTTGCTAGGTTGACGTCACATGGCATTGTTTCGCCAAAGGATCTTGCAACAAAATTCCACAAATTACGTCATCGGGTACTGTGACGTGATTGTAAACTTTGAGGTGCAAGGCCCCGTTCCACAAGGCGATCGTACTGTAGCGCAACAACAGTCGTTGGTCTAAGTTAAAGTATGTGAGTTGCGATAACCTTAGCGATATGATAGTTTTGTGGAACGGACGCCTGAATTCTGAAGGTAGACCGTTGTATGGTATTACATTCATACGTTTCAACTTTTGATGTGTTTGAAGAATTATTATGTTGAACTCAATTGGATTATGTCGTGGGTCGTGTAGGTGTCAGCCTATTCACACTCAACAGTATAATTCCAAAAACGTTATAAATGGCAAGTAATAAATAAAATACTAAACTCGCTGCCATGTAAAACAAATTTTATGAAACTCGTGAATAGTTGTGGTATCTGACTCGCTTTAGCTCATCAGATACCACAACTATTCACTTGTTTCATAAAATTGGTATTACACAGGAGCTCGTTTAGTATTCTATATATACTGGGTATGACATCCCACTTTCGACTAAGAGATAAAGTAATTTACTTGGTATGACATCCCACTTTTGACAAAGAGATAAAGTTATTTACTTGGTATGACATCCCACTTTTGACAAAGAGATAAAGTTATTTACTTGGTATGACATCCCACTTTTGACAAAGAGATAAAAGTTATATACTGGGTATGACATCCCACTTTCGACTAAGAAATAAAGTTATTTACTTGGTATGACATCCCATTTTTGACTGAAATAAAGTTATATACTGGGTATGACATCCCATTTTTGACTGAAATAAGTTATGTACTGGGTATGACATCCCATTTTTGACTAAGATATATAGTTATATACTTGCTATGACATCCCACTTTTGACTGAGAGATAAAATTATATACTAGGTATGACATCCCACTTTTGACTAAGAGATAAAAGTTATATACTGGGTATGACATCCCATTTTTGACTGAAATAAAGTTATATACTGGGTATGACATCCCATTTTTGACTAAGAGATAAAAGTTATATACTGGGTATGACATCCCACTTTTGACTAAGAGATAAAAGTTATATACTGCGTATGACATCCCACTTTTGACTAAGAGATAGAGTTATATCCTTGGTATGACATCCCACTTTTGACTAAGAGATAAAAGTTTTATACTGCGTATGACATCCCTTTTTGACTAAAAGATAAAAGTTATATACTGCGTATGACATCCCTTTTTGACTGAGAGATAGAGTTATATACTGGGTATGACATCCCACTCTTGACTGAGAGATAAGTTATTTGAGCATCAATGAGCACTGTTTGACACCAACAAGTTTGCCAGTGATGAGGAACAACACATATTGTGACTAGTTCAATATAAACACCATCTGTATCATTTAATACAAAGCGTCGTATGCCGTACCATGCAGTTAGTGAAATTGTGGAGCATTCAATCATAAGTAGGACATTGTTAATAATCACGCCATTATAAAATTAGCGACTTAGGGTATTTATTTCGGTAGGACCATGATGCATTCAGTAAATACTTGCTGCGTCACTAACAACACCACATAGCCAATAACATCCATAATGGAAAGGAGTAGGATGGGATTAATTAAAAAAAATAATTTTAAATTATAAGAAAAAAGTATATAAAAATATTAAAATGTTGAGAACATAAAATGTAATTTTAAAAATAATATCTTGTTTAATGTCAAATAGAATAAATATCAGATAAATGAATGAAAAAAATATTTTCCATACTCCTTTCCATTTCTTGCCATTTAACAAAATAAAACTACTAACCGTGCCATGAAAACCCTACAGAGGAGAAAAAAGAGACAAACAGGTAGAGAAAAAGGAAATGTAAATACAAATCAAGAGCAAACAAAACAGGCAAATGGTCACTCTCTCAACAAGCAACTGGAGGGAATGGAAACAGAGCCAGGAACATTCAACAGATGATGCCAACCTAGAACAACAGCCCTGTTTTATAAAGAAACATTAACAAATTGAAACAGAACTTGAATAGACACAAATCTGTGATAAGCTCTTCTATGATTGGCACATTCTGTTTTATGTTAAGCACAAATACTCAGGGATGCAACTGCAGCAGGAAACTAATCAAACATTAGCTCTGTCTTAAAAGCTTGTTTCCGAAAAGAGGCCTAGCTTTTAAGTCAAAGAACAAACAGAAAGCCTGTCACATTTTGTATTCAAAAGTAATCTTACTTTTTGTAACGTTGTGTTTTTATTTAATCTCAAGCAGGATTGCTATCCATTTAAAAAAATATCTTTTCTTTTTACAAAACTGTGAGCTTATATACCACTCAACATTTGCTGAGGACCAAATCAGTCATCTTCAAAGGTGTGATCCTCGGCAAATGTGTAGTATCCATATATTGTCAAAATGGTATAAAAATCATGCTGAATGATTGACAAGAATGTGACAAGCTTTGTAAATTGCGGAGCTGTGTAATGTTATGTTCAACACCAAACTGAATCATGGTAGTCAAAGAAATATATAAATTAACTAAAAACATTCATTTGAGTGCAAAACTGTTAAAACTGATGGGAACAATTTTCAAAACATACCTATGCTAAACAAGCATCTTGTACAATTAAACACTTGATGGGTAAAAAAGGGTATAAAAATATGGCTGCCACATTTCTCTCAACAGGTGGAGCCTTAACCAACAAGGCTCAGCATGTGATGGACATGTTTGGAAGATAAGAAAATGTTAATTTCTTTGTAAAAGTCACAACTTTAAAAAACATATAATGTAAAATGTTCTTCTTCCACCCCCCACAGAAAAAAACACTGTGAACATATGCATATTTTTCCAACCAATCCCATTTTGTCAAAACAGAAATGAAATCGATCATGTTGAAATGTATTAATGTAGATTTCACGATGAATCACAAATGTTAAAAGGGCTTCTGATTCAGATCACAGTTCAGTCAGTTCTGGATGCGTTTTGCACACAATTGACAACACCGTACATACAACAGCTCATGTCTGCAGATTAAAGTAAGGATTGACGTAGGAGAAATTTCTGAATGCATCATCGTCTATATTCATGATGATCAGACTGTCGATTGGCGTCAGTTTCACGGGGATTCGCGTGAATAACTTGTCAAAGTTCTCAGCCTTCTTTGGATCATTCTGGAAGTGGGAAGTGAAAGAAAAAACATAAAATATCTATAAACAAAGTGACGTCTACAACATATATGTCCACAAAGGGGAAATCTTCCCCAAATTATAGTGGCATGTGCATTGTTAATTTGTCAACTCAATTTGTGAAAATTATCAGGTCAATCAATTGTCCTCCATAACATCATGTGAAACATTTACATATTTAAATTATTAAAATTAAAAAAATTATTATATTAAAATCTATGAAACAAATTACCAAACAGCTTCAAGAGAGAAATGAAATTTTTAACCTTGCCTTCTAGAAAACAATTTCAGATTCAACATAAAATTTCAGAAAATATTTTGAAAACAAAAAGTTATTCTGCCAACAGTGTGACGTTGTCGTGTTATAGCTAAAGGGAGACAATTCTTGGCCACCTGCATGGTCCTCGAGCTACCTAGGAAAGATGTGCTACAAACACAGACATTTTCTCGAGCCAAGAGAGTTAACTGACTATGAAAGTCCAGTTTCCACCCTTGCCGAACAAGGCTGGAATTATGGAGTTACAATTTGGCTGGACTTACGAGTCTATGCATTGTCTAATCAAAATCGTGCAACGAAATCGAAATCCGGTTCGTAAACTGTAATGCAGATTTCGGTCCATTGCAGGATTTGTAAAGCATGTGCACCGCCAACTCGTTGTCAAAGAGATATTTTCCAAATCTTTTCATGTTTTTTATGAAGGTGCTCACGTGATTTGATGCACTTCGCGATGTAAGACCCATTTTATCACAATATAGATTTTGATTACCGATCAGATCATCTTCACTGGGCGCCACCATTTTGTTTGAAGCAAATGGAAGTGATAAGAGAGGTGGAATCTGATTGGTCCATAGGAGAGGCATAGAAGGGACATAACTTGTTATAGTCACTGGTGGCGCTATGATCGAGCCCAGGTATTCCAGCCTAGTTCGGCAAGGGAGGAAACTGGACTTTTAAAGTCAGTTAACTCTCTTGCCTCGGGAAGATGACACACAGAGGTCAACACCACAACATCAAAAAGCACTAGGAGAGATAAGACAGAGTACAGAAACACAATCATTCTGAGATGTTCTGCTATCAGACATGATGAATTATTGATATTTTTATTCACACTTCATACTGCAATAGTGTTTTAACATTACATTTAAAAAACATCTTGCAAGAAAAAAGCTACAAAAAAACTTACCAATCTTCAAACCGAGCAAGATTCTACAATCTGTAATTGCTTTATAGAATCAATTTTTCTACCCCAATACAGGGATTTCCTAATTTAAATGTGAAAACTCACGATATGCATGATATGCCGGCTGAATATAAGTAGATTTCATCTGAACATAATATTTGTCTGAACTGCAGAACATCTTAGGATACTAAGAGAATTCACGAGAAAATCTGACACGGAAAATGTTTTTGTTTGCTCAAATTCTGAGTTGACCTTATCATGTGTCACACACTTGTCACACATTTGTCACAGTACTTTTTACTTACCAAAACATCATTCTAAATTTTTTTTATGGGGATATATCCAGTCATTTATACAAGAAGAGGGTGGGCAAATTGGTTCAAGGGCAAAATACTTTGTTTTAAGTGATTATTAACTAAAAAATCAGTGAGAATTTTATATGAACTTTATACTTTTACAACAATGAAAGGGATAAACCTTTGCTATCAATCACCAACCCAATGTTTGTGAGATGGGGTGGAGTGTGGTGTGTGGGGTGGGGTGTGGTGTGTGGGGTGGGGTGTGGTGTGGTGTGGTGTGTGGGGTGTGGAGTGGAGTGTGGGGTGTGGAGTGTGGAGCGTGGAGTGTGGTGTGTGGTGTGTGGGGTGTGGGATGGAGTGTGGAGTGTGGGGTGTGGGGTGGAGTGTGGGGTGGAGTGTGGGGTGGGGTGGTGTGTGGTGTGTGGGGTGTGGTGTGTGAGATGGGGTGTGGTGTGTGGGGTGTAGTGTGTGGAGTGTGGGGTGGAGAGTGGGGTTGGGTGTGGGATGGAGTGTGGGCTGGGGTGGATTGTGGGATGGAGTGTGGGGTGTGGAGCGTGGGGTGTGGTGGGTGGGGTGGGGTGTGGTGTGTCGGGTGGTGTGTGGGGTGGAGCATGGGGTGGGGTGGGGTGGGGTGGGGTGTGTGGTGTGGAGTGTGGAGTGTGGAGTGTGGAGTGTGGGGTGGAATGTGGGGTGATATGTGGGGTGTTGGGTGGAGTGTGGGATGTGGGGTTAAGTGTTGGGTGTGGGGTGAAGAGTGGGGGTGGAGTGTTGGGTGGAGTGTGGGGTGGAGCGTGGGGTGGAGTGTGGGGTGAAGTATGGGTGTGGGGTGAAGAGTGGGGGTGGAGTGTGGGGTGGAGTGTGGGGTGGAGCGTGGGGTGGAGTGTGGGGTGAAGTATGGGTGTGGGGTGTGGGGGACCTTGAGTTCTTCTGCTGCAGTGTCAAAATCCCATTATACCTAACTTTTATTAGGGACTTTTTTTCATTTCAAACACAACCTTCACCCACTGTAATAACTGACAAGACTCATGCCATGTTTGTATGTTCCTAACAATTAAACAGATTTTAATTTCTAGTAGAGCTGGGATGAGTCCAAATTTACTCCCCGGGTACCCGACCACCTATTACTCTACCCTACCCGTGTACCCAATGTAGGTCTCAAGAGATGGGTACAAAATGACTAGTTTGACTGTAGCATACAGTTACACATACAGAACGATCTGGTCATGCAAACACTGAAGTTGACCAAAGCGTTATCTTTATTCAAACATATGAAAGTCAGAAGTAACGCGAACGTTGGTTGTTTGTAGTGTAGCCATGAAGTTCTAGATAACTTTTGTCATTAAACAATATATCACGTGACTAACAACGGGTCCAGGTAGTCCTGTGGGTACCAGGGTCCTACTCAGTACCACCCAACCCGAGTACCCGATTTACCCATCCCAGCCCTAATTTCTAGGCTGATTTAGAATATCAAACACATGATCAAGCACCAGTCTTATTTTATTACCAATTATTATGGACATAATCCTGTCAGACTCATCATTTTAGATAAAAAAAACCGCAATTCTCAAACATATTTCATCTAATGGACCACCACCACCACCACAATATGCCATAACATATATTTATACAGATGGACTGTTTAGTTTCCACAAATGCCCATGGCAACAACACAGCTGGAGAAACCTATATGTATAAAACTAGATAGAGTCGTCATGGAAACTGGAACTGGAAATCTTGGATGAAATCTTGAAAGAGCTAAATACAGATGCTACACACAAAAGAATAATGTCAGTTGTACTCAAACTAAGTTGTACACAGGTACCACTACCACTATCATGATGTTGAACATAACAATGATACCAGTAAGGTTTTTAATGGCCTAAGCCAGGCAGCACAAGCACCATCAGTATCCGAACTCCACCCAGTCCTATGGGAACCAGTCCCGACAAGGAGCCTCTCCCATCCCTACCATCACAGGATCATCCTCTTGTAACAGGGGCTGGACCGGTCACACAAAACATACAGTATTCGACGTAATAAGCGCCCCGCTCTAATAAGCGCCCACGGCGATATTAACTAATATATTGGCTAGTTAACAATCCCAATTAGCACCCCTTCCGATTGATCAATGTACACAAGACTTATTTATTCGCGTATGATACGCACTCGTGTGTTATATGCAACCTGAATTATGGGCAATTAAATTCTGGAAAAATATATCTGTCGTACATGACCATTCAGGCTGTCAGCATAAACCACGAAATTTATCTTTAAATAAAATTCTAATAAGAGCCCCCTATTTCTAATTTTGAGAGCGCCCTGGGTTCTTATTACGTCGAATAGGGTAGTTCTTGATATGGTTTTAAGGTTCAGAACCAACAGATGTACTGGGCCCCGTTCCACAAAACGATCATATTGCTATGACTGTCGTAAGTCGATGTTAAAATATGGGAGTTACAATTGACTTAGCGTTAAGATGGCTTTGTGGAATGGGGACCTGATGTAGTCATTATTAAAGGTCAGACTTGCATCGTATGTTTCAAAGTACAAAAAAATCTGTTTTCAGGTGACAACTTTGAAATCGGGTGACATGTTTCCTGGTGTGACAAAAGAGCTATCTAATTAAATGATAAAAAAGAGAAATAAAACACAGTCACCTGAGGTTTGTTTCATTATTTCTAAATTTAGGGTTCTGGAGTGTGTATGAATGGGCTAGGCTCATCTCACTGGGATTTCTTTAAGAAATGGCAACCACAGTTCTGTGGTTTGTGAAAAACATGATCCCCCAGCCAAGGAAAATATGTTTTTGAAAATAACAGCATATTATTAATCAGTATGGAATAATCAAAGAAATAAAGCATGTCGTTAAAGACTATTCTACAAGGAGCAGCAGATGATCCGAAGTATCTCTCAAGAGAAAGACTCCTCTTTGACAACCCTAAACCAACAACAATTCTGTCAAAGCTCTAAATTCAAATTTCAATGCAGTTACTATCATATAAGTACCTTTTACACTTTGAAAGTTAAACTTTCTGCTTGCTAATGTGTGACATGCAGAGATGTTCAAATCTCAACTTCTAGTTCCCATCTAGCTGTCACGCTAGTCATCCTGCGCGAGATACTTACAATCTTGGGTTTGTACGGAGGCTGAATCTCCATGCCTTCGATCTTCTCCCAGTTTATCCTTCTGAAGAATGCATGATCCTTTATGTCTCGCTCGCCAGTTGGGCCACACCCAAGTCGCTTCTGGGGGTTCTTCGTCAACAACTGAGGGAGGGGCAAAAATATTATTTTGCAAATTCTTTACCCCTATGAGCTATGAAATCTATATATGTCAGAGATCAGAGAATATACATTAGTTAATGCAATCAAATTCACACTCATAAGCCCTTAAGAGTATTTTATCAAAATTTGCATGCACATACATGATTTTCATACAAAAGAGTAAAACTTTGTCACTAATAACTACAATTTAGCTTTTGATGAGAACCTTGGGTTTTGTTAAAGAGAAATTATTCTTTTGAATTTGCAACAAATCTAACTTTTATTTTTGGCTATGAAGTGACAAAAACTTTTCGGGAAATCCATAATACCTAATGAAATCGTTTGATCTGGTTTGATTCATTTTATCCAATAGGTAAAATCCTGTCCAATTATGTTTAAGGCGAGACATTATTATTATTATTGCTACACTACTGGAGCTGGCTTCTCACCCCCTTGCAGATGGACACAGCCTCCCTGGACATAGACTTGGGGTAAGACACGTTGTGGTCGGTGATCGACGTGAACAGCTCCTCTTCGTCCTCACCATCAAATGGAGGCTGCAAGTACAAGGTCAAGGTCATGGTTAAGGCCATGGTCAAGTTAAGACAGATACCATTTATTGCTAATCAAATATTATTCTTGAGGTTCAAGGTTTTATCATCTTATGATGTTATTTGGATAGTATGAGATGTGAATTTACATCATCAACTTCATGTTCATGTTTACACTGCTATGATATTGAAGATCCATCTTCCTGAGGCAAGGAAGTTAACTGACTATTTAAGTCCAGTTTCCACCCTTGCCGAACTAGGCTTGAATTATGGAATTATCTCTTCGAAATCGACATCTGGTTTATAAACTGCAGTGCAGATTTCGGTTGATTGATGGATTTGCAAAGCATGTGTACCGTCAGTTAAGTGTCAACAAAAAATCCAAATCTTTTCATGTTTTCAACCAAGGTGCTCACGACTTGATGCACTTCGCGAAGTAAGACCCGTTTTATTACCGTAAAGATCTCAGATCGTCTTCACTGGGTGCTGCCATTTTGTTTAAAGCAGACGCAAGCGATATGAGAGGTGGAATCTGATTGGACAATAGCAGGGACATAGAAGGGACATAACCCGTAATCGCCACTGGTGGTGCTACAATCCAGCCCAGAAATTCCAACCTAGTTCATCTGGGTGGAAACTGGACTTTTAAAGTCAGTTAACTCCCTTGCCCCGGAGGATGTTGAAGGTCCTACCCGATCCTTCATATGTGAACAGTGTCCAATGAACCGAACACTATATAGAGCAACACAACAAACAGCCCATGAGATAACATGCCACAGCTTAACATGAATATCCCTCCCTATCATGCCTGTGTTCCCCTCACCCAGATCCACGACACCACCTCCCAATCATGCCTGTGTTCCCCTCACCAAGATCTACGACACCACCTCCCTATCATGCCTGTGTTCCCCTCATCCAGATCCACGACACCACCTCCCTATCATGCCTGTGTTCCCCTCACCAAGATCCATGACCCCACCTTCATACTTGTGTTCCCCTCACCAAGATCCACAACCCCACCTCCCTATCATGCACGACACCACCTCCCTATCATGCCTGTGTTCCCCTCACCAAGATCCACGACACCACCTCCCAATCATGCCTGTGTTCCCCTCACCAAGATCCACGACACCACCTCCCTATCATGCCTGTGTTCCCCTCACCAAGATCCACGACACCACCTCCCTATCATGCCTGTGTTCCCCTCACCGAGATCCACGACACCACCTCCCTATCATGCCTGTGTTCCCCTCACCAAGATCCATGACCCCACCTCCCTATCATGCCTGTGTTCCCCTCACCAAGATCCACGACACCACCTCCCTATCATGCCTGTGTTCCCCTCACCAAGATCCATGACCCCACCTCCCTATCATGCCTGTGTTCCCCTCATCCAGATCCACGACCCCACCTTCCTATCATACTTATGTTCCCCACACCCAGATCCACTTTCCTCTGGCCATCAACCATCTCCTCCATATCATGCCTTCATAATGTTGCAGTAAAGCCTGCTCTTTGATGCCACCTCAGACAATTAGGTCTCGAGTTCAATGGGGGCAACATCCCTCTTAGCCATATTGATCGCAGCCTAACAGACTGTGACATGGCTGCAATTGTCTGGACCCATGACACAAGGACAGTAACTCTTGCTTTGAAGTCACTTACAAAAGCATTACCAGCATGGGATCAAGGATGTCTGAAACTGCCTGTCTCTGCTGACGCCAAATTTAGACATGATAATTCCAGGTGCCTTCAACTGATTGAAACGGGTTCAAAAAAGGCAATAAGATTACGTGGGCATTTCATTCATCGATCCAGGATGCTGTAATTGACAGTAAGATAAAAGACTGACCGGACTGGACTGGACTGACTGACTGACTGACATGAGGCTATATGATGAAGTTTTATTTTACGCTGGCATTAAAATGTTAATATCAGCCCTTGTACAAAAGATGAGTGAGTATTGTTCACCACTGAAATTAGCTTCTAAAGAACAGTTTGTATTCTTCACACATAAAGAGTGTCATCAAAATCTGATTGAGTCATAAATGATGTCATATGGAACGAACAGATTTCCCTCAAAACAGTATGCTTTAACATTGAAAGATTACAGACACAGCAATAACCAAAGACAATGTTGTCACCTTGGACACAACAATAAGTAAAGCAATCACCTTAGACACAACAATAACCAAAGACAAAGCAGTCACCTCAGACACACTAAGAACGAAATACAAAGCAGACATCTTCAAAACAGTGATGACCTGATGCATAGCAATGATGTCAGACACATCAACAAGATATAGTGTCACCGTGGCTCCAGTGATAATCAAAGACAACACAGTCACATTGTACACAGAACTGATCCTCGTAATACACTTTTGCTGACAATTACAGTGACAGACAGTCTCAGATACCCACAGAACCTCAAACACTTCAACCTCAGACCAACATTTTAAGCACTGATGACAATTAATGAGACAACAATGACTCCAGACATCCTATAGATTCTCCCATCTATAGATTTCTAGCATCTACACTGTCAAACTTGAAATGGTAACACCTTAAGCAGTTTTTACAAACAAAACTGGAGAAAGACAGGTTCTAACCTTTTAATGGAAATGTCTCCTTTATATACAACCAGGACCCCTTATAGTTATGTTGCTATAGTTAAGGTACAAGCTTCCTTAAATTCGATTCTGAATCAATAATATTTGACTGACTGACTGACAACACACTGTTCTATTCTCAATATTAATAATCATATGATAAACCATGGTCATGTTAGACAATCCTATTTTTCAAGTTCTGTGCCCATAATATTTGTAATATTCAATGACACATTATCCAAAGCATATAACCATAAAATGAAAACAAATTCAGATCCTAAACTGAAGCCTGAAGAATGGCGCGAGATTGTGGAAGTATGTCAACATTGCTAACGGCAAATTAAACTTAAACAAGTTACTGGGAGATGTTTTCACAACAGAAACATAAACAGGCCATTTTGCCTCCAAGGGGAAAGCACAACCAGGTAATATTCTTCCAACAAAGCACCATTTCCACCGAGACTTATAATCTATAAATTATCTGGAATGTACTAACAGTGGGTTTACAGAAAACAGAATAATCCAAACTTGGCAGCTCATATTGCACTGATCTGAATTTAATAAACTTGCAATGAAAACAGTTAAATCAAACATGGCCAGAACACATTTGCTTCCATCCAAATGACTGTGTGGAGTGCACAAAAGTGCTCCCAGAGTGTGATGGAGTGTGAAATAATGTTGACTCAGCAAAGCTGGGCCAGGACAATTGTGACTGGACTCTCCCAGGGGAGCCTCTCGCCTTTGATAAAACTCTGTCTCATCTTGTCAAATCCTGCAGAATAGCACTGAAGATGACGGCGGTGTTCTGCTTCGATCAATGAGGGAAAACAGTGTATATGAGCTGCCTGGACAAAGGTATCTCAGTCTTAAACAGAGCATGTTCTGTTGTGCTTGGGACGTGGGGAAAGTGGCAATTAGTGACAAATCTGCCATACATATTGATGGATGGTTTGGAGATGGCTCTTGGGTGTAACATTTCCTTCTTCGACAGAGAGAGTGGAATTCTGACATAACAATTGCTCCTCCGACGTCTTGATGGTGGTTGCTTCGAGGTCTATCCCCATCCCAACTCATCAATCACATGTGGGTTGAGAGTAAGAGGATACACGGGTATTAGGATGATTTCTCTTCACAAGCCATGATCAGCCTTGTAAGATTCATGGTCTGAGCTAATGCTGAGTCGGAACATTTGCTTGACAATGACACTATATTTAACAACATTTCCACTAGTATCACACCAACTAAACAGTACTGCAAGATAAAGCATAGTTTGCATTGAGTGAGTGAGTGAGTGAGTGAGTGAGTGAGTGAGTGAGGTTTTATGCCGCTTTTAGCAATATTCCAGACATATCACGGCGGGGGACACCAGAAATGGGCTTCACACATTGTACCCATGTCGGGAATCGAACCTGGGTCTTCGGCGTGACGAGCTAACGCTTTAACCACTAGGCTACCCAACCGCCCCTAGTTTGCATTGATATTTCAATAAGGGACATGATCATTGATATTATAAGATGAGGCACAGCATTCAAACATGTGTGTGGGGGGCTGCTTGAATGTCTGGACTTATGACAGTGTTTTTAGTGCTATCCCACTGAGACTCCATGCTGGCTTGTCATGGTTTCATCCCCATAATGCCAAGCACCATGCAGGTTAAAAACAACTTCAATCCTTAACATCTTTGGTAGGAGTGAGTGAGTGAGTGAGTTGGGGTTAACGCCGCTTTTAACAGTATTACAGTTATATCACAGCGTGTCAGCTCAATGTGGGAGGAAAGCCCGAAGTGATGCAGGTCTCAGACGTTGACCACTTCGTTGAAACCCACGAGCACGGGTGTGGTGCTGACAAACCTAGAAACATTATCGGGGCGAACCAGGACTCGAACCCACAATCATAGGTTTCTGGTGTGCCCAAGGGACGCAACTCTGCACAGTGAATCGCGGTGCCTTAGACGACTGGGCCACCCGTGCCCCCTCTTTGGTAGAATGCGGCCTGGGATCTAACCACTTCATGATGAGGCACAGTTTTCACAGAAACGTCATGATGCGGTAGTTTTCATTGATACTTCAAGTAGCTGTATTTCATTGGTACTATCAGATGAGGCACAGTTTTCACTGAAACTTTCTGATGAGGTAAATGTTTCATTAACCCCTTAACAAAAGGACACAATTTTCATTGCTACTTCACGATAAGACAATTTTCTCTATCCCATCCAATGATGACCTCGGCACATAGTTCTCTGTTAATGACAAGACACAGTTTTCCTTGATGCCAGAACTGAGTCACCGTCAGGTCAGCTGCTGCATTTCAGTCACGCTACTGAATGAGGTGAGGTGAAATTGGTTTTAACGTCGCATCCAAGATTATTGCACTTATATAGCGACGCGCATGCACGAGTGTGTGTGTAGCTGCTTGTACTAGTCCGGACTGATGCCGATTTATAGTGCTAGCTCACTGAGATACCATGCCGCAGTTTAACATGAATACCACACTCAGACACAGTATACTGACTCCGAGCCGACCAGTCCTTGTTTTAGCCCCTTAATGCCGAGCGCCAGACAGGGTAACAACAAGTACCATCTTTTAACGTCTTTTGGTATGACGTGGCCGGGGATGGAACACCAAACCTTCCGCTCTCCGGGCGGATGCTCTACCACTAGACCACGGAGGCGGTCACTACTGAATGAAACCAGCAAGTCGTGGAGAAGAAAATCATGTTTAAAGGGACTGTCACAGACAGAACAAATAATGAGTCAAAAACATTTTAAAAAACTGACATATCAGGGGACATAACTCTCAATCCTACCATTACTAAATGAGTAATCTAAATATAGCAGCAAGTCAGCCACGAGTGATCCACAACATTGAAGGACTTTGTAAAGATTTCAAAGTGTATTATTGAGGCCATGTTGAGGACATTTCCAAATTTGAAGCATCAGTGACCAAAATTATGTCCGTTGTAACTCCTTATTTTGACTTGTACCATATCGATGGTCTGGTGTTCTTTTTCAGGTGAACAATTGCATGTGTTTGTGATAGGTGCCACCAACACAGCAGAATACACTCATCCTTTCACGAACACCTGGAATTGTAATTGTCTGACAGTGTTTCAAAAATACAGGGTCATGATAAAGTTGGAATCGCATAATGGACCCACATTAGGGTCTGTTAGACAATGTGTGAGAAGGCCCAAATGTCACAGGTTGTAGTACCTGTGTTAAAACAAATGTCCATCTTAATTTAGTGTCTAATCTGTTTCCAAGGAAGACATTGTACGGTAACTTCTTCTGAAGTCCTAGCATCTCAATGTTGTGCTATTTCTTGCCAATGACAACTTGTCTGTATCCTGGGCTACAGACAGAGAGAGCCTTAGCCTTACCTGTCCAGCAAGCATCTCGTAGAGTAACACCCCGAATGCCCACCAGTCGACCGACTTGCCGTATGGCTGGTACAACACAATCTGGGGAGGAAAACAAGAGAAGCATCAACAACTAGAACACATGTCCTTGACTTCATCATGGTCCTCCTACTCTTGACCACCTCACCTGAAGTTGCTTACCGGTATCATTACAGACTTCTATAGGTCACTAGATCCCTAGCACGAAGTGCTTGTCAAAGTGACTTGGTCGCAGCAAAGTGTGATCTGTGCCACATTCCACAAAGCGATTATAGTGCTATGACTGTCATAAGTCTATGTTAAAGTATGGGAGTTCCGATCATCTTAGCGCTACGACTGTCATACATCTTTGTTAAAGTAGGGGAGTTACGATCATCTTAGCGCTACGACTGTCATACATCTTTGTTAAAGTAGGGGAGTTACGATCATCTTAGCGCTACGACTGTCATAAGTCTATGTTAAAGTATGGGAGTTCCGATCATCTTAGCGCTACGACTGTCATAAATCTATGTTAAAGTATGAGAGTTACGATCATCTTAGCGCTACGACTGTCATAAATCTATGTTAAAGTATGAGAGTTACGATCATCTTAGCGCTACGACTGTCATACATCTTTGTTAAAGTAGGGGAGTTACGATCATCTTAGCGCTACGACTGTCATAAGTATATGTTAAAGTATGGGAGTTACGATCATCTTAGCGCTACGACTGTCATAAGTATATGTTAAAGTATGGGAGTTACGATCATCTTAGCGCTATGACTGTCATAAGTCTATGTTAAAGTATGGGAGTTATGATCATCTTAGCGCTACGACTGTCATAAGTCTATGTTAAAGAATGGGAGTTACGAACATCTTAGCACTGTGTGAAACAGGGCCCATGATTGTGGTCATCTTGCTTCTACAGCGTCGATTGTTGCCTAGACTTGATTATTTACAGGCTGATGTGATACAGTTGGTGTGCCGCTGACAGAGGCATAAAACAACATTAACTCACTACTACATGGTGAGTACCTGGGCCCACTTGCTCAAAGTGATCTTAGCGCTAAGACTATCATGAGACTATGTTAAAGTATGGGAGTTACGATTATCGGGTGTTAAGTGGTCTTGTCTACCTCGAGTAGTGCTGTTTCAACAAAGTGCCTTAGTCAGAATTTGACCTGTTGCCACATGAAACTATCACAGAATTCTACAATCAATAAAGAAAGGAAAATGACAAATCTACAACTTTTCAACAACTTACTTTGGACATTTCAGAATCAGTAAAATGTCAGTAATTTAATGTGGTTGCTTTCTAACCAATTAGTGACAATCCATTAAATATTACCACACAACTTTAGCCATGATTTGCCAAACATTAATATTACACAATAAGACAGCTTGTTTATTGTGCATATTCCCTAGTGGACTTAAAATTAATATAAATTTTCGATGACCACTAACAACTGTCTGAACGCCATAAAATCAAATACACATTTTTCTCCTTGGTAGGTGAGTGAAATAGGGTTTAACATTGCGTCCAAGATTATTGCACTTATGTAGCGATGTGCATGCCCATGTGTGTGTATGTGTGTGGCTGCTTGTACTAGTCGGGGCTGATGCCGATTTTCATGCTAGCCCACAGAGATACCATGCCGCAGCTTAACATGAATATCACAGCAGCCTATTAATAATTAATCTTTCTCCTTTACATCAATTCCTATTGAAGTGAGGATTAATAATCAACAATATTCTCAACCAATGACAGATCCTTTGAGGGTGGGTTTAATCAATGGCCATGTTGAGCGCTGCCCCTGTGAAGAACATTGGGTGCTGAGTACCGTACCTCGGGCGCAATGTAATCCGGTGTTCCACAGAATGTCCGTGTTGTTTTGTTGTTGATGATTCCTTCTTTACACATGCCAAAGTCAGCTATCTTGATGTGTCCTTCGGCATCTAACATCACATTATCAAGTTTAAGATCTCTGAAAACAAATGACACTTGTGTAACAAAGTTGTATAACAGGCTACAACTACAGTGAGTGAGTGAGTGAGGTTTTACGCTGCTTTTAGCAATATTCCAGCAATATCACGGCGGGGGACACCAGAAATGGACTTCGCACATTGTACCCATGTCGGGCATCGAACCTTGGTCTTCGGCGTGAAGAGCGAATGCTTTAACCACTAGGCTACCCAACCACCCCGGTTACAACTACACATTCACATCCCGAAAAGGAACATAATTGCATTAAAAAAAACATGTCACATAAGGTTAGAAAATAGCACCACTTTTATATAATAATGTGTACTTTTCTATCAGGAATAAATGTGGGAAATATTGATTTATTCGTCCCATGTTTAATGAAGCACTGACTGTTTGAAAGCACCCCCCCTCTTTAGAACGCCTGATCCTAAAATTAATCCAGCAGGAAGGGGCAAGAAATGTGAAAACAATTCAGCATGCTAAAGGTTAAAGGACAGAGACTATAAGATGCTGTTAGCATCGGTAAGTATTTCCTGAGTACTTATCAATATTCAGAGCTAATGGACAAATATGAAAAAACTATTATTAAATTTGCAACTATGCATGCAGCAATAAATGTATGGAATCCAGACTCCATACACAAGGAGTTTTCATGCTTGCCGTCTGAGAAGACTTACATGTTTCTTATTGGATCAATTTTGTTTCCAAAAGGTTTCCCAATATCAACATTAAGTATCAGAAGATTTCAGTCGTCAGTTTTAGATTTGACTGTGTGGAACAAATTGATGTGCTATCATTGGTAAGAAAAATATATGCATGTTTCAGCTTCAGTGTCCAATTGTTTCAGAGAGATGATTACAGATGGAGAAAATTTAACAAATATAAAATGGCAACGCCAGAGAATAACCAGTCTCGATTATCCACCAAAACAGATTCCATTGGGCGTAAAAGGCAAAGTAGTGATCAAAATAATATGAATGGATCACTGAAAATCAGTGTTGACACCAGGTGTTCCCCGAAACAGTAAGCTTGTTCTGCTCTACTGGTAGCACCTGCTACTCACACAGTTTGTTCAGTTGTCTTTCCATCAAGTGAGACAGAAACATTTCGTCACTGTCAATAAATCATAGTTTGCTTACAGTCAAATTATCATTTGCACAATGCATAATTTCTGTTGGTATTGCAAACCTAAATCCATAAGTCCATGAATGGTTTGGTATCTCAATCAATGATTGAACCACAACCATAACACATGGTACATCTTGCCTAAAAAGAACCAACTGACACCATAAACAAACAACTGGAAATAGCCGCTGACAACAAAGTAGAGGGAGGCACAAACTCCTTCCATGGTCTTACCTATAGATGATTCCTTGGGAATGGAGATAGAAAAGACCTATGGCAATTTCAGCTGCATAAAACCTGAAAGAAAACAGAGTTGATTCGTAGGAGTTGTCAATGTTGGTGTTGGATTGTACAATGTGATCAATGCATCTACATCCAGTTCAATCTCCACTGATTCTGTTAGCTGTCAGCCTCGTCCCACCAACAGGCTGTTTGAAGGGGGAATAGCCATATGCATTTCAGAATGGCTTTTGGCCTTGATGAACTCTGGGACTCAGCAGACAGCTGTTGACTTCAGCCATTTACAGTTTCAACTTGCCACCCAGTGAGTGAGTGAGTGAGTTTGGTTTTACGCCGCTTTTAGCAATATTCCAGCAATATCACGGCGGGGGACACCAGAAATGGGCTTTGCACATTGTACCCATGTCGGGAATCGAACCTGGGTCCTCGGCGTGGCGAGCGAACGCTTTAACCACTCGGCTACCCGAACACCCCTGCCACCCAGTAGTCAATACTCCTGACCCACTGCAACCACTACTTCTAGTTCTATAATATTTTTAGTGCAAGCTGTTGACTTCAGCCATTTACAGTTTCAACATCCCACCCAGTAGTCAATACTCCTGACCCATTGCAACCACTACTTCAAGTTCCATAATATTTTTAGTGCATGCTGTTGACCTCAGCCATTTACAGTTTCAACATCCGAACCAGTAGTCAATACTCCTGACCCATTGAAACCACTACTTCTAGTTCTATAATATTTTTAGTGCAAGCTGTTGACTTCAGCCATTTACAGTTTCAACATCCGAACCAGTAGTCAATACTCCTGACCCATTGCAACCACTACTTCTAGTTCTATAATATTTTTAGTGCAAGCTGTTGACTTCAGCCATTTACAGTTTCAACTTGCCACCAAGTAGTCAATACTCCTGACCCATTGCAACCACTACTTCTAGTTCTATAATATTTTTGCACTGAAGATGCAAGATCAGATTTGTATTTACGATTCGTTGCAAACACTGAGCAATAATTCCTCAACATACTCATCTTTTACACATCGCAAAGTACAGTTGTATGTGTCATTAAATGTTTAATCAAACTCTTGCCCTTTCTGACATCACTTTTTATGACTTTGCATACTGTTCATTACCACAAGAGTAAGAGTGTTACAAGCTGGGATACTGCCCTAAAATGTCCCATAACGGCCTCCTTTTCTGTATTTGTATGGGATTATCTTCATGACAGGTGTTTGTTTGAATTTCTATTCTGATGAATTAATTTAGCCAACAGCCTTGTTCAAACCCACAATCCTAGGTTGCTGGCAAGGAACACAACTCTGCAAAACAAATTGCGGAACCTTAGACAACTGGGCCACCCACTATACATATGAATAATTTGAAACAAGATGAAGGGATATTACAGACACAGGACAGATCTGATGTCTGATCATGACTCTGACATGAATACTTACGCAGCCACAGGCTCTTTGAACTTTCCTTCCTGTTGGATTCGATACATTAAGTCCCCACCATTCACATATTCCATCACAAAATACAGGCGGTCCTGGAAGGAGAAGGGCACAAGTGAGTGAGTGAGTGAGTGAGTGAGTATGGTTTTACTCCGCTTGTAGCAATATTCCAGCAAGATCGCGGCGGGGGACACCAGAAATGGGCTTCACACATTGTACCCATGTCGGGAATCGAACCCGGGACTTCGGCGTGACGAGCAAACGCCTTAACCACTGGGCTACCTGACCGCCCCCAGAAGGGCACAGGGGTTATATCCATGTAGGACTGCACTTGAACAGTTGGAGGTAACCACAGGGCATCCATCTTCAAACACTGACTTCAGACCATTCCTAAACCTATTTGTCACAATCAGTGATGTTTCAAACCTGCAATAACATCTGAGCCTCACATAAAAAAATTGCATATAGCGAAATCTTTTGTTGTGGTTATCACATGATGTCATAGAAGAATATCCAAAAAAACTTAAGTCAGTTGAGCAAACCAATTGTTTTCTTGTGATAAGTCAGTAAACTAAGCGGGGTCTGGAACTTTTGAAGAATTGACAAACTTGAAGAAGTGCAATGATCAAGTACTAGCAGATTGTTCGAAAATTGGACAAGGGAGGCTGCTACCCAGCTGTAGACATGGGAGCTGTTACCCAGCTGTGGACAAGGGAGCTGCTATCCAGCTCTGGACAAAGGAGCTGTTACCCAGCTGTGTACATGGGGGTTGCTACCCAGCTGTGGACAAGGGAGCTGCTACCCAGCTGTGGACATGGGAGCTGCTACCCGGCTGTGGACAATAGGGTTGCTACCCAGCTGTGGACACAGGGTTGTTACCCAGCTGTGGACAAGGGGGTTGCCACCCAGCTGTGGACAAGGGGGTTGTTACCCAGCTGTGGACAAGGGAGCTGCCACCCAGCTGTGGACAAGGGAGCTGCTACCCGGCTGTGGACACGGGAGCTGCTACCCGGCTGTGGACAATAGGGTTGCTACCCAGCTGTGGACACAGGGTTGTTACCCAGCTGTGGACAAGGGGGTTGCCACCCAGCTGTGGACAAGGGGGTTGCCACCCAGCTGTGGACAAGGGGGTTGTTACCCAGCTGTGGACAAGGGGGCTGCTACCCAGCTGTGGACAAGGGAGCTGCTACCCAGCTCTGGACGCGGGAGCTGCTACCCAGCTGTGGACATGGGGGTTGCTACTCACCATGGTCTGGAAACAGGAGTGAAGGAGAACAAGGAATGGAGGTTTGGTGGGCAGCGCCAGAACCCGTTTTTCTATCATCGTACATTCTACATCATCATCTTGAATGATGACATCTTTCTTCAATATTTTAATTGCATAAAGTTCGTCAGTCCCTTTCCTTTCTGCTAAAACTACCTGCAAATGGAGAAAAACAGCATGGTCAAGTCTTGAATAAACCAACCCCCAAATCTAAGAGAAACAGCATGGTCAGATCCTGAAACATATACCTGGGAGGTAGGAGGTGATTGATGATTTTTATGCAGTAATCAGCAATATTAAAGCCATAACAAGGCTTAGTGAGGTGGTGAAATGGGGTTTAACATCGCGCCCAAGATTATTGCACTTTTATAGCGACGTACTTGCGTGCGTGCGCTCTTGTACTAGTACGCACTGATGCTGATTTATAGTGCTAGCACTCTGAGATACCATGCCGCATTTCAACATGAAAACCCCACTCAGACACAGTACACTGACTCCGAGCCGACCAGTCCTTGTTATTTAGCCCTTTACTGCCAAGCTCTAAACAGGGTCACAACAAGTACCATCTTTTAATGTCCTTTGGTTTGACAGGGCCAGGGATCGAATGCTGGACCTTCCCCTGTCCGGGTGTATGCCCTACCATTAGACCATGGACGCGGCTCATAACAAGGCAGTATGTAAAAAAATTCATGTCAGGGTCAGTCAGATAAGAGGTTGATAGCAATGATTCCATCAGCCGGTGAACACATTGTAAGAGCCTGCTCCACTCCAAGCAAGAGATACTGGGAACAAACCGTATTTTCTTGAGTATAGTGTGCACCCGAGTATAATGCGCACCCCCCTCTAGCGGATTCAGTATTTAAAAAATATTTTTTTCCGCATATTATGTGCAGAAAAAAATTACACCGTACCCCTTCAGAACGGGTGATGAGAAACTCTGTCAGTGCAAATTTGAAATTAGAGATAAAAAAATCCCCAGACATGTTGTTTTACCGTTTAAATTGTATTTTTTGTTCTGCTAGGCATTGTTTTACATCCATGGATTAAGATTCCCTTTTGTATTTTCTCGTAAACTAAGCCGGAAACATCAATCAGCTGTACACACATTTTCTTGGAATCTACTCGTGATTCGGTCAAGACACACCCAATGATATAACTTGAAAGGATTTTAATGCAAGGATCTGCAAAAATTGTATCTGAAACTATTTTTTATTAGGAATAATATATTCCAATATCTTGTTATTTTAGTTGCAGCTTTTACTAAATATATTTGAAATAATTATAACCCTAAGCGAAACAGCTGATCGCTATTGCCGGTTATTATTTTTCACACGGAACCAGTTTGACCAGTCACCTTCGAGGCTCCTGCACACGTGATCCCGAGAACTATGTGTTGACATAGAATCGTCAATCTACAACAAATATGACTATTAACGAGTCAAAGTATGGCATTTATGATATATGTATCCATTCTCTGTCAACTAAAGTTTGTTTCAAGGCATCAAAAGCGGTAATCTGAGCGTGGTTGCTGTTAAGTTGAGTTGTGCGATCTTCTGATCGCTTCACACATGATTTCGCCGAAATTATTTAAAACAATATTAAAAGGAATTTTTGAACAAAATTTATGAAATAAGTCTACAAACATAAGTCTAGTTATACAAAGAACATTTTTTATAGCCAGACTGTGTAATTACATGATTAATTTGCATACTTCAGTATGGATTTGTTGACATGGTATTTCCGGTGTTACATGCTCACGGTAATGTCTTTTTGGTTGGGGGGGAAAAAAACATCAAAACTCATTATTGCGTGTATAATGCGCACCCCCTTCTACACAGCTGTGTTTTTGGGAAAAAAAGTGTGCACTATACTCAAGAAAATACGGTATTCAAGATTCCCTCGGCACATCTCAGTGGAGGCAAACTGTATGTTTGGTCCTCGGTAAGACTGCAACGATACAGCTACAATCATGCAGACTGGGACATAACACCACATGCTCACTCACAATGGAACGCACACTCACAATGGAACGCACACTCACAATGGAACGCACACTCACAATGGAACGCACACTCACAATGGAATGCACACTCACAATGGAACGTACCCACGGGGACTCCTTTGCTAGTCACAGGAAGTGGCTAAACAGGAACCCTGTGGGGATTGTGGGTCAGAATTGGTCCCAAGCTATCCCTGCTGGTTTTTAGAGGCAACTTAATGGATCAGGTGGTCAGACTCTGACTTGGGTGATGACGTGTCAACATACCATGATGGCGTGTATCATTGCTCACAATATCAATCACTGGATTCCCTGGTTGAGATGTGATTATTTACAGGCCACTGGTCTATAGCAGAAATATTGCTAAGTGCATGTTCACACAATGGAGCCTGGTGTTCCACAAAGACTTCCCAGTGCTGTGGCTACTGTAACCTGTATTACTTATAACAAGGAAGGAAGGATTGCTTCAGTGTCAACACTTCATTATCTGTGGTCATCATTTCTTACTGAAATCTCTGAAACAATTTAACCAAACATTGCTCTCGTCACTGCAACATGAGGAAAAATCATCAAGAAAGTGTCGGGGGTTACATTCCATCAGGACTGCCTCCGTAGAGCGTCCGCCCGGAGAGCGGAAGGTCCGGGGTTTGATCCCCGGCTGCGTCATACCAAAAGACGTTCAAAGATGGTACTTGTTATTACCCTGTCTGGCGCTCGGCATTAAGGGGCTAAAACAAGGACTGGTCGGCTCGGAGTCAGTATACTGTGTCTGAGTGGGGTATTCATGTTAAACTGCGGCATGGTATCTCCGTGAGCTAGCACTATAAATCGGCATCAGTCCGAACTAGTACAAGCAGCCACACACACACATACACGTCGCTATATAAGTGCAATAATCTTGGGCGCGACGTTAAACCCAATTTCACCTCACCTACATTTCATCCTGATATTGCCACTATGTTAATCGTTCCTATTCAGCTCTCAACAGGTTAACATTGATAACGGTGAAACGAAAATATCTTACCTTTCCAAAACTACCTTTTCCTAAAACTGTAAGAAAGTTGAAGTCACTTGCACGTACAATGTCTTGCCGACTGACGTTCTGAGCCTTGTCAAGTGGTACCATCTTCTTTTCATTACTTTCCTGGCGCTACAAAAATAAACACATCTATGAAAAAAGTGGCATTAAAAAAACATATGATCCACATGGCAAATTTGTCTTGTATAATTAGAAATTTCAAACAAAGATTTGTATTATCTGTGGTTGACTAACTGTCCGCAAAGCACTTCCTACTTTTCGTCCATTTCGCCTGTCAGTCATCAACCTACCTCATCATCAATAACCATTGTGAAATCGACATCCACTGGAAACCAATGCAAATCCAAATCCAAGTTTTCAAAGCTTCAGTGTGGATGATTTTGAAAATGGGAAAACCTTTTCCACAAATTGACTACTTGATAATCCAAGTTGCCACAACTTCATGTGCACTATTCCAGCACTGGGATGACTGTGGAGTTGTTGAGACAATTAATGGATCATGGGTCAATAGCAGAGCAGATAGCCATGATACAGACAGAACCTTATGACTTAAACGGGGCCCTGTATTGGGGGCCTACTCATTCACCTGAACATATTTCAAAATTGACAATATAACCAAAGGCCTCGATATGCTGATATTTCCGATGCTATTCTAGAGATTTGAAAAATTACAGCGGAAGTACATGTATTTGATTGAGTAAATATCTTCTGTTCATAGCTCAATTTTAATCCATTCAAGGTTGATATTAAAGAACCATACTTTGTAGATTTTTTAACCAAATTTCACAAACTACTATTCCATGATAATTTGAAGTTACTAAAGATATTCCAAATAGTTTTAATAAAAACCAAAATGAAAATTGTAACATTAAATAAAAAAAAATAAACAGCTATCCAAATTGAACTTATTTACAATAAAGATTTGTGGTATGGTGCCTCCCTCCTCGTCTGCCCCACATCAAGTGTATGATTGACAGGTGAATGCATGAAATGTACAGTTAGCCTGACATGGTTACAGCATAGCACAGGGGGAGTGAAGCTAAGTACCTGGCCCAGGGGAGGACACACAGCGCAACAACACTGCCAATTGATAGCTAAATATACACAGATGGTGCATTTCTCACTCATTCAATTGCACTGGACCTAATCGGGTTGTCAGATGGGATCATGAAATTGATCGGCATCAATAACAAAGTGAAACTGACAACCTGTGAGGGATCAAGTAAGAAGGCTTTGTACAAACCATGTGGTTGCCAAGTCCGTTACAAATCAATGCTGGATATTGAAGCCATTTAATAGATTCCTGATAGGACAAAAGTTAATATCAGTGAAATTAATCAACTCTATAATGGCTGGTAGAGGATATGAATTGTGAATGTGTTGATTTGATATTAATGTATGTCAGTCGTGATTACACAAGTCTTGTAGCAAGCAGCACAGAGAAGTGACATGTGACATGTGACATGTGACATGTGACAAAGCAATATACTCATGTATTCATCATTTAAATCTCTTCATCACGACAAACTCAACATTGGCAAATACTATGGAAAATCATATTACTGACATTTGTATGAAGATATGATTGATGTTAATGTTTGTTAATTGTAACCCTAATAAAATTATACAAATAACTGTAAAAAAAGTAAAAAGTAAGCTGTATATACAGTTTTCTAAAAAGGGAATAAAAGTGTTATAGTGTAAGAATGTTCAAAAGCTGCGAACATGCTGTGAAATGTTTGCTGACGCTGTGGTGCCCGAGAAGAAACAGTCGTGTTTGCCTGGTGTTGGTATCTGCCCCATGAAGATCCGGGTTAGAATAGGTCTTCAGCAGCCCATGCTTTCCGTAAAAAGCAACTATGCTTATCATAATAGGCGACTAACGGGATCGGGTGGTCAGACTCGCTGACTTGGTTGATCTCAATTGTGTGGATCTATTGCTCATGATATCAATTACTGGATAGTCGGGTCCAGACTCGATTATTATGCAGCGTTAAACAACAAACAAACAAAATTCAATGGTAACTCAGACACACATGTTAGCTAAATCGGGGGAGGAAAGCCCAAAGTAGTGTAGGTCCTAGACAGTTACCACTGTGCATGGGTTCTGACCAAGGGTATGCATGGCAAATCTGGACATGAACCCATGATCAGTGGATCCTGCCATGATCAAGGGGCACAACTCTGCATGATAAATTGCAAGCCAGTGATTGTGAAGTGAAGAGTCTTGCAAAAACTGAAGTTGTAGTAAACAACATAATTTACATGAGGGAAAGGTGTTCTGTCATTAAAACAGTTGAGTTCACCAAAGGCAGCCACTTACTTGGGCAGACTTTTGTGCAAACATCTTTGCAGTCTATATCTACTGCTCTGGGTGAGGCAAACATAGAACTATACTAAACAACATAGCTTACTGTTTGCAAGCACTGTCAAGAAGAAAGTAAAGATCAAGTTAATTCAAGACTTTGGCTGTCACAGGATATATTTGTTTTACAATGAACGAAGATTTTTGAAGCTGAGAATATTATCAGGAATCTTTTATATAAGAATTCAGCATATTTATAGTGTACAAGACAGTTGTTAATGGCCCTACATGGATACTGTATGAAGATGATAAACATATCACACCTCGACTTGTAGTTGTTTGAGCTCTTCGATGGTGGGTTCAACTTCGTCACTGACTGGAATACCATAGAACTCCCCCTCCTCCTGGCTCAGGAGCTTGTACCAGCCATCTGCCGGATTCTTGAGGATCTCCGAGATCCCGAACGACAGCGACCCCATGAAGTCATTGCGGGATGTGCGGTCCCAGTCCCACACCTCCATTGAGATTCTTTTGTGAGCATCATCAGACCCGAGATCACTGAAACACAGAGCATCATCAGACCCGAGATGACTGAAACACAGAGCATCATTAGACCCGAGATCACTGAAACACAGAGCATCAGTAGACCTGAGATCACTGAAACACAGAGCATCAGTAGACCTGAGATCGCTGAAACACAGAGCATCAGTAGACCCGAGATCACTGAAACACAGAGCATCATCAGACCATAGATGGCTGAAACACAGATCATCATTAGACCGGAGATCGCTGAAACACAGAGCATCAGTAGACCCGAGATCACTGAAACACAGAGCATCATCAGACCATAGATGGCTGAAACACAGATCATCATTAGACCGGAGATCGCTGAAACACAGAGCATCAGTAGACCCAAGATCACTGAAACACAGAGCATCATCAGACCATAGATGGCTGAAACACAGATCATCATTAGACTGGAGATCGCTGAAACACAGAGCATCATCAGACCGGAGATGGCTGAAACAAAACACTATCATTTGACCGGAGAACCCTGAAACACAGAACATCATTAGACCATAGATGGCTGAAACACAGATCATCATTAGACCGGAGATTGCTGAAACACAGAGCATAATTAGACTGGAGATTACTAAAACACAGAGCATCATCAGACTCAAGATCGCTGAAACACAGAGCATCATCAGACCGGAGATGGCTGAAACAAAACACTATCATTTGACCGGAGTACCCTGAAACACAGAACATCATTAGACCATAGATGGCTGAAACACAGATCATCATTAGACCGGAGATTGCTGAAACACAGAGCATAATTAGACTGGAGATTACTAAAACACAAAGCATCATCAGACTCAAGATCGCTGAAACACAGAGCATCATCAGACCGGAGATGGCTGAAACAAAACACTATCATTTGACCGGAGTACCCTGAAACACAGAACATCATTAGACCGGATATCCCCGAAAGACACAAGGTACACAGTCTAAAATGGAAAAATGCATCTGAAAAAGGACATTCAATAGAGTCAGCAAGAAAGAGAACGAATGGTTTCCAGCAAATAATTCAGCTAGATGTCACCGCCTGCAATGTGTTCTTGTGTTGGAATAGGTAAACCATCATAACAGCAATAGAAACTAACAGTTTTAGTATACTGATCCTTATAATGATAACATATAGCAAAAACCTGAAAATTTCCAAATTCTACTAGTCCTTGTGATACCTTAACTATTGCGCAGTTTGGCAAGGTCTACAGGACTAGTGCCAGTTTCTATCGCTGCTTCACATGTGTCACAGGTACCGCTTCTGAGTATATTTGTACATCAATTTCATCTCTAATAATAAAAAATAACGTATACATCATGCAGCCTTTATTTTTACCGGAAACAATTTGTCTGGAAGCTAAAATGCATCGATTTATTTTTTTACATCAAAAGACTATCAACCACCAATTTCATAGAATTGTCAATACATAATTTCCTATTTATTGACCCTAAGAAAATGGCACAACGTCCAATAACATAAACCTTTTCACATTCTCCGGAAGCAATAAGTCGTAACTTGTACATACCATTACAATGTACGACATCAGCTGACCAGAAATACAATAATTTTCGACCACATTAGCCCTACATGTACACAGAAATCCTTGAGAGACATCACGTGCAGCACCAGACGAGTTATTGACGAAGTCAGACAGTCAGCTTAAAAACACTGGTCTGGCAGGCATCTGCTGCTAAGTGGGTGCACGTCTCCTTCAATAGGCATGCAACAGCACGCGATGCGATCCCAATGAGACAGTCAGGCGATGGCAAGACAGTCCATCGAAACTGGGAGCATGGCCTCATGGATTGCGTCAAGGGTAACGGGTCTCCGGGCCCATTAGACAATCATCAAACCAGCCCTGATGTAGAAAGCACTATTACGTTAATCTTACACCACTCTGTTCAATCAGTCCAAGACCTCGGCAATAATTACTGCCGATTTTTGGTCCTCATCCTCCTCCCTACAATGGACTTCCTATTTCAGGGACATATTTCTAATGGACTGAATGGGATAATGGGCAAATCCCCGTGAAGTGGTCGAACAAATTTAGAAACTCTCCAGGAAAGAGTGATGGACCAAGGAGGAGGTCTGTAAGACAACGGTGGGCCCTTACCAACAGGCTCCTCGGGACCACTGTCAACAGAATCTCATTAGGCAATTTTCACCCTGTCGAGAATGTCTACGAACCTGCTTAGCACCTGTTTATAAACACCGCTTATTGTGCTTCTCACAATCAATTGGACCAGCCAAAAGGACGGTCTAACTCCAAGGGGCTGAATATTGAGTGGGAAGGATAATTTGGTAAATCTAATTGGCATTATAGCCGTAATTATCAACCTCAACATTCTGAAGTGACGTTCAATGGCAATGAGAGATAATGAAACTTGAGACAAAACGATACAAATCAAAGTTGTCTCGATCGAGATCCATTGTCTAGTACCAGATTCTACTGATTTCCACTTTCTACCATAACAAGCTCTTCACTCACAAGCTAAATGATTCGTTCCACTCAGGGTTGAGTGTAGACTTGACTGTTTTCGTCTTTTTCTTGGACTTGTTAGACTCATCTGGGATGAGCTTTACTTTGACGTATGGGTCAGCCAGTCCATTCGGGTCCATGGGTGGCAGGTTTCGGGCCTCGAGGACTGCAAACAGAGGTGCACGATAAACTGGAAGTTCTTTCAGTCCTTTACACAATAAGACTCAAAATCAAGGAAACCAATTAATGACAATATCATCATTAAATGCATTGTTTAGCAAAAAATAGTATGCACACACACAACAAGAATGAAAACAACTAACAGATGTAACATATCAATTCAAATTTTTATTAATTAAAGATAATTAACATCACAACTTTGAAACAGAAAAAAGTGTTTTAATAGATGTGATAATAACTTACGGTTCAAAGGCATCCCTAAGGTGTGGGAAACTAATTAAGTCACAATGACCTACCACTGATGTCATAACATTGACATCACTTGTCATACATAAGTATTCAAATGATATAACTACTACATACATAAAGCTTAAAATATAGCGATTCATAATTATTTAAACTGGCAAACATTGACCTTCACTGTGACCTCAGAGCTCGGGATAAGCTGCGTATCTGCGTAAAATACGCATCAGAAATGCAGAAATACGCAGTAAAATAAAATCCAAGCGTATCAAATACGCAACGAACATTATAGATATACTACAAAAATAAAACTTGTGCGTATCATCAAAATATTGTGAAGTAACCCTGTGTATTCGATTAGCAAATCAGCAACTTATTTTGAAATTATAAACGGGCATTTCGTCAACCTTGCCAAACTCCACGATGACAGTTACATCATGATCATTTGCCATCACACTTTCTTGTGGAATTATCGTGGTATTTTTGAGTCCTATAAAGCTCTCGAACCCAGACGACACCAGTTTGCAGGGACTTGATGAAAAGTGTTTTTTAAATATTTAACTTAAATACCCACATGTGTAAAAACTAGTGGGTAACAGAAATTTGAATACCCAGATAAAATTACTGATACCCAATGATTTTAAAATGCATGGGTAAAATACCCACAACACCAAAAGCTTATCTGGAGCTCTGTGACCGTGACCTTATACAACATTTACAGATTGCACTGACTTATCGTTTTGTTAACTTTTCTGCCGGCTATGACATAGAGGGTGACCTTGACATTTGACATGATCGGTCAATGTGTGAACAAATATTTCCAGAGGTATAAAGGCAATGTACACGATATGATATTCCTTGGATGTCCAAGCGCTGCGTGGTTTCAAAAACAAGTGTTTCATATAAAGCATTAAAATATCCATTTACATGAAACTGCTTAAATATTCAAATCATACAATATGACAAACTTAGTATAAATATCCACATTTTGTTGTATGGAGTGGACTGTCATTATGTTGTTGTTTAACCCTGTTCATCTCATCTAAAAAGTATGCAATAAAGAATGGGTTTAACTATTTCTTCCCTTCCCTACCAGTTCAGTCTATCTTTAATCCATGTATTTATCCTTCTTCTTTGTAAGTACAATGTTATCCAGTCAATGTTACTTACCTTTAATGCTTATCTTTAGTTTGAAATGTAAATGGGATACAAGTTCTTATTTCTGAGTGAGTGAGTGAGTGAGTGAGTGAGTGAGTTGGGTTTAACGCCGCTTTAACAGTATTCCAGTTATATCACGGCTGTCAGCTTAATGTGGGAGGAAAGCCCGAAATGATGCAAGTCTCAGACGTTTTCCACTTCGTTGAAACCCACGAGCACGGGTATGGTGCTGACAAACCTAGAAAAATAATCAGGGCGAACCAGGATTCGAACCCACAATCATAATTTTCTGGCATGCCCAAAGGACGCAACTCTGCACAGTGAATTGCGGGGCCTTAGACGACAGGGCCACCCGTGCCCCCTCTTATTTCTGAAGCTCACATGGACATAATCTGTCCAACTTCTGTCCGTTGGATCAGACTAGATGAACTACAAAAAGGTGTGGAACAGCTCAATAAGAAACTCAATATTTCCTTTCCTATCATACACAGCCAATATTTATACTTCATAATCAAGATGGGAACAAATCTTCCATTGATGCCAAAGTTTTTTTGATAAAAACTTTATTGAACAACTGGAATTCTGTAATGTTCCCTTGATTACTTGACAGTCACAAAAGAAAACTATCAGGAAATTATCAATACAAAAAATATTTACATCAAGAAGCCAAATATTGTCAGAAGAAATTCACTCTATCAAATATCCTCCCTTACAATGTACTTCCAAATGGGTTCAAATACTTCCCCTTTTCCAACAAAACTTCATCCAGAAAGGCCTCTGGCTATTATCATATGACATATCAGAACCAAATTTATCCATCAAAGTATTTTCACATGCCAAACAAAGCCCAATGAACAAATTGGTTTCTTTCATTCTGAAAAGATCCATTTTTACTGTAATAAAATTGATAAACTTGTAAAAAGGTAGAAACAGATCACTCGGATCTCAAAGGAAATTGCCTCTGATTCTGATAGAGGAAATCACCAATAAATAATGCATCTGAAAGCCTGCAAATAAAATGCAAGCATACTGCTCTGGGGGTTTGTACATTTTGTGGCCATTGCTTTTTTCCTTCGTTATTATTGATAACACTTTTTCTGAACAACATAAACATGTCTTCATCTTCCCTACAGCAACTTTGCAATTCCGAAGGGGGTAAAAACTGAAAGATGTAATCTCACTCAAAAGATGCCAGAAGCCTGTAACAGGTCCAACAATCAATAACTGTGGGCCTTGTTCTCTCAGCCAGTCTTGTTTTTAACAGCCAAAAATGTGTATTTATTAAATACCCTCAAATACAAAGCTACAAGACACAAACCCTCAGACACATCCAGGCACATGAAGGGGTTCAACAGGGAGATGGCTATACTCCTATTTTTTTCTTATACTATGCAGTGATTTTATATCTGGCTGTGTCAAGTTTGAAAAGAAACCTCAGCCTCTCTAGGGAACTCTTAAAATGCTGTTGCATAAATAAGTAATCTTGCTTACAACATATCATAGAGTAAAAATGTTTAGGATGCAGTTGTCAAAGTTTTTCATCATTTAAGTACACTCTTTCTCCAGCCAGTATTCTTCTGATATACATGCAAGTGGAACTAGGTTTTCAAGTTCTCACAATACACCTCACAAATGTAAGTAGTGCACAGCCTGAATTCATATGGTCATATATACAACAGGTTAAAATGTCAGCGAGTTTAAACTGTAACTTAAAATAGTTATTAACTACTATAAGTTTTTTCATACCAGGTATCCATTTACTGCGAAATGTCAAGGCAACAATTTGCAAGACCCACTGTTAAGCAGAATCAATACATAGGTCAGATAATTAACAGTAACTTCCATGGCCATTCCATTCCAAATCATTAACCAAAGTTTCTATTCGAATTACTTACAATTTCTAAAATAAAAAATGAATGAAATCCAACCAATACAAAAATATTGGAGTCATCATTAGTAGGAACACCCTGCCAGGTTTCAGGTGATCCAAAGGTTTCAGAGAAGAGTGAGTGAGTATGGTTTTATGCCGCTTTTAGCAATATTCCAGACATATCACGGTGGGGGACACCAGAAATGGGCTTCACACATTGTACCCATGTGGGGAATCGAACTGGCGTCTATGGCGTGACGAGCAAACGCTTTAACCACTAGGCTACCCGACAGCCCTTTCAGAGAAGAGCCTTCTTAAAGATTTATATAATGTTCGTGTTTTTTCAATTGAAAAACAAATTGTAACACATGAGAACCCAATGAACAGAGCTGTGTCATCAGTGGTTGGAGCATGTGTGCCAAGTTTCAGTCATATCGGTCCACTGACGCTCTACCACTAGACCATGAGTGAGTGAGTGAGTTGGGTTTAACGCCGTTTTTAACAGTATTCCAGTTATATCGCGGCGTGTCAGCTTAATGTGGGAGGAAAGCCCGAAGTGATGCGGGTCTCAGACGTTTACCACTTCGGTGAAACCCACGAGCACGGGTATGGTGCTGACAAACCTAGAAACATAATTGGGGCGAACCGGGATTCGAACCCACAATCATAGGTTTCTGGCGTGGCCAAGGGACGCAACTCTGCACAGCGAATCGCGGCGCCTTAGACGACTGGGCCATCCGTGCCCCCCACTAGACCATAGAGGCGGTCCATCTTCAATGGTAGCTGATAAGTAGTGATGCCTTGACCAACATTTTAATCAAGCTGAAACAGCTATGACATTATCCGTCCATGTGTAACAGAGAGTGTTTTTGGAGGACATAAGATTTCTATTTTATGATGGTACACAATCTATTGATGACATTTGTTTAGCGTTCATGAGATGAGGTGCCTTTTATCATTCCTCTTATGAAACTATATGAATTCTTCAAAAACTTTGTGCTGCAATATTTCATAAATACTGGTCTTCCATGAATACATCTTTTGTTATTAATTACCAGTTGACTTGTCAATACCAACCAAAATATAACCAAGGCTACTAGTATTCAAATTCTGGAACATGTTTCAGATCACCTCATGAGTTAAAGAAAATTAGAAACGCAATTACCTTCAATTTTCAATTTGCCAGTTAGATGTGTAATTCTAAGATAAATCCGTCCTCTCCTTTCTGTGTGGTCGATGCCGCAGAGCTTGGGAACGTTCATTTCACATCTTTTGTGGACATTCATGTCACATGCTGAAACAAGGAAAACAACATTATTTTGACGTCATGAAAGATTGCAAATATTGGGTGAGTGAGTGAGTATGGTTTTACGCTGCTTTTAGCAATATTCTAGCAATATCATGGAGAAGGACACCAGAAATGGACTTCACTCGTTGTACCCATGTCGGGAATCGAACCCAGGTCTACGGCAAGACGAGCGAACGCTTTAACCAATAGGCTACCCGACCGCCCCTGCAAATATTAAAAGAACATACATTACAAGATGGACACGATATTCCACAATGAGGTTCCCATTCTCAGTCTTTGTCTGGATGTTAATAATGTGTGAGTGAGTGAGTATGGCTTTAGCAATATTTCAGCAAAAACATGGCTGGGGACACCAGAAATGGGCTTCATACATTGTACCCATGTGGGGAATCGAAGATGTTAATAGAGTGAGAAACTGACACATTGTCTCTAAGCATGGTAATCATTATCTGATAAATTGGTATTTGACATCAAATATGAGTTAGCAGACTGAAACAGTGTTTGGGATGACAGGAATCTAACTTGCATGGTCTCCCTTAAAGTGAACTATATCATGACCTTGACCTTGATATGATTCTGGTGTCAACACTGTCATATCACAATAATTCAGGAGTGACTAAAATATAGCTAGTGAGTGAGTGAGTGAATGAGTGAGTGAGTGAGTGAGTAACCACAGTATATAGCTTTGAACAGTATTTCCGTTATATCATGGCTTGTTAGCTTGATGTGGGAGGAAGCACAAGGTGATGCAGATCTTACATACATATACCACTTTGGTCAAACCCACAAGTATGGATACAGTGTTGACGAACCTAGAAACATTATACGGTTGAATCGGAATTCACAGAACCCATGATCAGAGGTTTGGGGCACAACTAAGCGACACCTTAGATGAAGGGTCACCAGACACCAGGTGTTCGTGAAAGGGTGAGTGTATCATTAGAAGCACCCTTCACAAACACATGCAAAGGAAAGTCAATTATTGTTATATTCCTGTTTGACTGAGATCCCAGAAGAAATACTTAATAGAATCGTCTGTATTAACCGCGAACTGAAATTGATGTACTAAGTAGCTTGTCGTAAAAGGCGACTAACAGAACTGCGTGGTCAGGCTCGCTGACTTGGTTGATGCATGTCATCGATCCCAATTGTGTAGATCGATGCTCATGATGTCAATCACTGGATTGTCGGGTCCAGACTCGATTATTTACAGAACGCCGTCATATAGCTGGAATATTGCTGAGTGCGGCGTTAAACAACAGACATACAAACAAACATTAATCAAGACTGACTATTCTGACATTAAATGAGAGTGCATGTCTGCAGCATTGATTTAAAACATGCTAAGGAGTAAAAAAAATACAGGTAACTGACAAAGTATCATTCCATCAAACCTTCCAAAAATCCTGACCATCTATTATCCTCATGATAATTGAGTTATATTTACATTGCATCGGCAATATTGCAGCCATATCACGATCATCATGATAAATAAGTAAGAGTATATCAAGATGTTCCTGCGCAACCTATTATAATATTTTTTATTTCTCACTCCCACATCAATTATAATTTCCAATCTCTTCACAGCTAAAGCTAATACAGTGGAGTTTTAAATGTGACCTTAAAAATATGTGAAATGTGAGCTCCATGAATTGATGCTCAGTATAAAGAAAACTACTGGCTGGCTTACACAGCCATGCCTCAATTCAACATCCCCGGCAAACTTGTGTTTCTTATTACTTATCCCAATGATATCACCAGAACCCAACACAAACTCAACGCACAGACAAATCTACAAAATGTAATCTATCAAATTCATTTTATTGCTATGGAAACGCAAGCGCTGACCACGGAAATAGATCTTGCCGAGATATCTGTCTTTGTTAGTCGGTCTCTGCTCTACTGTCACCACGATGCTTTCACTTCCATTGGGTTTTTGATGTCAACTTCAAGACATCAGACTGCCTCATAAGTATCATATTTGAAACATGGTTGGCAATAGAAGAGCTTAGAGACCAACCATTTGATAATGGTGTAGGGGTGGAGGGTTGGGGGGAGGAATTTTATCGAAAAAAATATATTGTCCCAGAAAATCTTTGACAAAAATAATTATACTTTGGACAGTTGAACAAAAAAAGAAATTTTATGACACAAAATAGTGAGTGAGTGAGTATGGTTTTACGCCGCTTTTAGCAATATTCCAGCAATATCACGGCGGGGGACACCAGAAATGGGCTTCACACATTGTACCCATGTCGGGAATCAAACCCAGGTCTTCAGCGTGACGAGCGAATGCTTTAACCACTAGGCTACCCAACCACCCCGCCACAAAATAACAGTTGTAAAGTGTTTAATGTTTTTTTATATTTTGGCTCATAGTTTTTATTCTTAAATATCTGGTTTTGCAGCTGTAGCAGAAAAAAATATCTTGTCTCCAAACAAAATCTCCACTCCTCCAGATTAGTGAGTGGGTGACTTGGGTTTAACGCCGCTTTTAACAGTATTCCAGTTATATCACGGCTTGTCAGCTTGATGTGGGAGGAAAGCCCGAAGTGATGCAGGTCTCAGACGTTTACCACTTTGGTGAAACCCACGACCATGGGTATGGTGCTGACAAACCTAGAAACATGATCGGGGGGAATCAGGATTCAAATCCACAATCATAGGTTTCTGGCGTGCCCAAGGGATGTAACTCTGCACAGAGAATCGCGGTGCCTTAGACGACTGGGCCACCTGTGCCCCTTCTCCAGATTATGAAATGGTCAGTCCCTTAGTTGAAATCAATCCTAATCAAAATTACCACTACTTTCGTTTGTATATCAACTGAGTGAACACAATTAGCTGTGGTGGTGAGGCAGATAGGCTTACACACAGTCTCTGAAGATATACAATTCTGATAGGAGCAAGCAACTAAATTTTATATGAAAAGGAGGACCCAGTGAGTTGGGATATTCAGAACCTGTGGAAAATCTAGTGAGTGAGTGAGTTTGTTTTTACGCTGCTTTTAGCAATATTTCAGCATTATCACGGCGGGGGACACCAGAAATGGGCTTCACACATTGTACCCATGTCGGGAATCGAACCCGGGTTTTCGGCGTGACGAGCTAACGCTTTAACCACTTGGCTACCCGACCGCCCCTGGAAAATCTAGACTTCATTTAGGGCAATAGCATTACAGTAAGGTGAGGGAGGAAGGGAAAATAATATAGTTGAGGGACTGTTAGGCAGACAAGTGAGGCAGCGTGCTGTGGCTGAATCAGTAGCTTCCAGACAGATGAAGATGCTATATGAGTGTCTCGTGTGGGAGCTAATCACCTGACAGGATACACATCAGAAACATGATTATCACTCAAATGACTTCCATTTTCTAAATCTGAATTCTATACTGTGAATACATTCACAGGTAGAATTGCAAGAGTAAAGCCTTGATTAAGATTTTATAAATAGTGTATAATCTTGTAAGTTAATAAGCGCAATTTCAAATGTGTGTGGGAGGTGTATTATTGGTCTTCATGTTTTTCTCAAGTAGCCTTGGCAATCCCATTGCCCTTTATTCAACGGACTAACCTAATCAATGGCCAATAGGACTCTAATCACTACAACTACCACCGCCACCACACTGAAGTAATACTTCAAAGAATCAGTTTACAGATCCATCCAATTCTCTGGACATGAAAAGTGGAAGAAATAGCATCTGAAATGAAACTATATGTTTCTGTTACACCAATGGAACCTACATAAAAACAATTTTTAAAACAATAAAAAGTAACTGTGTGGGAGAGTCTCTTTTAATGTCTTTTGAACAGTGGGAGGAAAGCCGGAAGCGATTCATGTCCTTAACATTTACTACTTGGGAGGGCATGGTACTGGCAAACTGGAATTATAATGGTCAGACCCTAGGAGCGTAGGTTCCTGGCACACCTAGGGGACACAACTCTGCACAGTAACACCTTAGATAAATGGGCTATCTGTGCCCCAAAACCAAAAGTTTAAAATCTTAAATATATTCTCTACCAACCCAGACTTTTCAACCATTTAAAAAAAATATTAAACCAATTATTTTTTTAAACTCGACCATTATGTGAGATGCTGGATCATCTCTGGTGGTTTTCATCAGTTTTGAACTCATCACAAAGACAAACACTACAGACGCATTCCCATTGTTAAATACCTACCACAATGATGATCACATTCCAAGAAAATCTTTTCAAGTTTCTGTTACCACATATTACACATAAGAATGACCATAGACATTTACAGTTTGAAGGGATCTTATTTCAAAATACATGCAAATCTACAAGCCAAGGTGTCCCATGTTCCAGGAGGGTTTCTTAAAAAGCAAATCATCTCTTCTCTGTCTTTTCTGACAGACATTTACCTCATAAAATCCTATTTTGAACAAGCCTACTACAAAGCTTGATTACTTTCCACAGGCCAAAATTTTCCATTAACTATTTAATGATTTACAAAACTTCACATCTAACGACTTCAACACTCATGACTTGTAACTGCAGTGACCGAACTGTAAAAACATCATGGAAAACATATCCAAAACGGTCTTCTCGTAGTAAAAAAGAAATATCCAAATTCCAAAATGTCAAACGAGTCATGAGGAAGTGAAGCAGAACTCACAACAAACACAATCAGGGAAGAAAAAAGTTAAATCAACTTTTAACAAGGGAAAAAAGCCTGCTACTTCCCTCAAGTCAAACAATTTTGAGATCGCCATGAATATAATCAAGTGGAAATGGCTTATATGTGACAGCGTTCTGTACTCCTGCCTGGCTATTGAACCAAATGGGATACAAGAGCTGAGTATCTAATGGACATCTCATGTTAAATAGCAGCATCTTCTGCTGCATTCCCCCCGGTTACCACACAGCCATGTCCCAGTCAGTGTTGCATTGATAGCTAGTCGTAAGGAAACTGTTATCACATAAGCAACTTATTGTCCAAGCTAAGCCGCCAGGGATTTGTGCAAATAATCTTGGCAAATGTCAAGTAGTCTCTTCTTAGTTGACAATTTTCTATCACATGTCCAGCCTGAGAAGGTTTACTAGCATATTCCCAGCATCATTATCATCGTCTTTCCTGCTCCATCATATTTAGGATGGTGGGACATGTGCTGGAATGGGGACATGCATATGATGAAGGATTTGTGGTCAGGAGAGTAGTTTCCTGCCAGACGGTGAGGGATCTTGTTATTACTGGAGTGAAGACATATCATAAGTGCAGTCTCCGACAAACAATGTCATTGGGATCCTATGGCCATCGTATTGATCCAAGACCTTATTTACCTCCTAGGTGGAATCTCTAATGAAACATTATCTATTTCACAAACCATTTACATACTTCATCAAGATAAGCCTTTTCTCTCGGGTTCTAAATTTCTGTTGGTATATCCATCTATATCCATCTATATCTACCATATCTATCATATCTATCTATCTATCTATCTATCTATCTATCCATTACTCAAAACAAGTTAAAGAACACCCACAATATGAAGGCTGTGTGTTGCAATGCCCACCAGCAACGACAGACTAACTTTAGTCAAATGAAAAACATCGGGTTTTCTTTAACATCTTTTGAGTAGTATACAAGCTGAAGTACACTCTGAACCCCATGGGGTTCATACTTGTGATAACAAAGGGCAATCTAAACTGGCACCTGCTGGATTGACACCCGGTTTGATTCCCCACATGGGTGCAATGTGTGAAGCCCATTTCTGGTGTCCCCTGACATCATATTCCTGAAATATTGCTAAAAGGGACATAAAAACCATCCTCACTCACTCATACTCATAGATTCCCATGATAAAAATTGGTATTCCTTAACTTCTTTAGAGTAGTATATTTACAGGCCACTGACTCAGTTGTAATATTCATTCACATTCAATTGCCACAAATGAGGCCTTTTCAGGAAACCATCTCCACAGTAAAGACCACTTCCTTATCCGTGGCCTTTTCAAGTATGTATGGACCTTTCTATGTGGAGTTAGTCCAGATACGAGATCCCATTGCCTCAGAACATACTAATTTCCATGGCAAATGTACAAGTGTAACACACAGACACTCCAGGCCAGCAGCACTTCCCTGCTGTAGGTGGTGATGGACTGTCAGCACTCTAATCTACACTGTCCATTTAGTCCTGGCACCGTGGACTCGGCTAACACAGCCATGTCCTGTGGGACTGGAGTAAGCATCTTACACACTGTCAAGCTGTCTACCTGTCGTTGAGGGGGATCATCACACTTCTGAGGGCGGATTTGGGAAGAAAGGATGTCAAGCTGGTATACAAAATGTTAAAAGTCCACCATTCAGTCTCAGTCTTAGGAGTTTTGATAAGTTCAGGCAGAAGGCACAATTGTGAGTTTTGAAAACGGATTATTGAAATAGTAAGAATTGTTTTGGTGGACGAGTGAGTCGGTCAGGTTTTATGCTGCTTTTTGCAATATTTCCGTCAGGTTTAATGTTGCTTTTAGCAATATTTCCGTCAGGTTTAATGCTGCTTTTAGCAATATTTCAGCAATATCACGTTTGGGGAAGCACAACACCAAGACACTTACCGTCACACTTAAGGCCTTGATGTAGCAGTCCATACAATAGAGAGCCACAGTGGTCACAGAAGGTAGGACTGCCATAGGTGTGGACCTTGAACTTGTGCAAGTTTGTAGCCTGAAATGCAGAACAAGTGTGTCATTAATACAACACAAAACTGGTGTCATTAACAAGTGCAACTTGAATTCTGTTTATCTCAGCAAGTCTGAGACATCTCGTGAAATAGGTTGGTGTGATTCAAGCCCCGAAAGGCTGTGAGGTGAAGGCACTTGTCTTCCTAAGGATCTCCACTAATGACCAACTAGCAGACAAATGCTGAAGACAATGATGGAGATGTACCTCCAAGTCATAAATCCTATTCATTGTCTGTTCATAGAGATAGGCCAACCACTATTCATAGACATGGCATCCCCTATTCAGAAACAAGTTACCACTATTTATAAACAAGTTGTCCCCTATTCAGAGACAAGTAATCACCTATTCATAGATATGTCATCCCCTATTCAGAGATAAGTCAACCCCTATTCATACAATAACCATCTACAATGCAGACACTGTCAGGTCCTGATTCGATTATTTACAGCCCGCCGTCATATAGCTGGAATATTGCTGAGTGCGGTGTTAAACAACAAACAAACTGTTTTGCCTGTCACAGTAACCCAACAACGATACTCGCACTGAATACAAACAACATAGACATGTTTCCGTAACAGGTTAAATGATAGTAAATCCTTGAAAATGGCAATTTTAGTACTACTTGGTCAGGACCCATTAATAATGACTGTTGCCATTGGTATTATTCAAAGTACTCTGGGTCGTCAAAAACACCTACTCAAAAGACTACAAATATGTTGGTCCCACAACATAGTGTACTAAAGCTTTTCTCTTTGCCAAACTTTGACAGAACCAACAGTACAAAATTCATAGCAATGAAAACAGTTCAAATCTTGTCCAATCAGCATGTATTTTCATCCATATTCAACTGATGAAAGAGGTACAAAAAGTACTATTTTTGCAATTCCGTCTTTGAAATTCCTTTGATGTGAACTGTTACGTTTAAGCTAATGAGAAAAGCACATGTCACCTTCTGGCAACAGTCAAGAGGCTGTGAAGGAGAACTATGTGAGAGAACTGATGCATGAGGACCCTGAGACAGGAAGACAGGTTCACCTTGACCTCCACCACGGCACACACATGGTGTGATGCTTTTGTGTTGTGGTGGTGTATTTGGAGCCATATACATTTTTTCACTGACTTTGTATGTGGGCCAGTGGCTTTGAAATACCAACATAAACTTTGACTTGATATTTCTTTGAACTATGTACACATTGTGTGATAGATTGATTGTTGTTCAATGCCTCACACAGCATTATTCCAGCAATCTGTAAATAATCAAATCTGGACCAGACAATCAAGTGATTGACACAATAGGCATCAATCCACGCAACTGGGATATGATCATATGCATCAATCAAGTCAGGGAGTATACAAACCAAATCCTGTTAGTTCCCTCATGGGTTGCTGAATACCAATTCTATACCCGTGAAGATCAGGGTAAGAATAGGTCTTCAGCAACCTATGCTTGCCGTAAAAGGCAACTATGCTTGTTGATAGAGGTGACTGATGGGATCGGGTGGTCAGGCTTGCTGACTTGGTTGAAGCATGTCATCGTATCCCAATTGCATGGATCAGTGCTCATGATGTCAATCACTGGTTTGTCTGGTCCAAACTTGATTAATTACAGACAGCTGGAATATTGCTGAGTGCGGTGTTAAACAACAAACAAACAAATCCCCATATATCCTTCTCACTGCCTTTCTCAGCAACATTGCTGCAATGTTGAAAAAAAAAAGCAACATCAGATGATGCCTCGCTAAAAACTTGCCCACAATCTTTACCTATCTTGAGAAAACATCCCTAAAATATTAACATAAATAATATGCTATTTTCTTCCACAAACTGTCAATCACATGAATCAAGGGCACACCGACTGGGAATCACCCTTATCTTAACTCCCAGTAAGAAGCAAGACAAATGAATCTGGATGAGGTTTCCCTGCAGACAGCTAAATATAAATCATTTGGACAGACAGCTATCTGTACTCCTTAACAACCCAATGCCTCCTTTCTGTCATTAGTCGAGGCAAGAAAACCTCTCCTAAAATATTCATAGCTTATGACAAGCCAGAGCAATTAAATTCCCAGCATGGATGGACATAAACTGTGGAAGACCTAAATACAGACTGCTTGAGCAGGACCGGTCTGGGCAGGATATGTCGAAGATAAATCTCATCTCAACTCAACTCGGCCGACTTCCTGGCAGGATTCTCAGACAGTTGAGTGTCAAGCAGTAAGCATAGGAAATAGTTCTAGGTTACACTATTACATAATTGAGGTGAAGAGCTTGCAGGTCGTAGGTATAGGCAGTGGTGTTGTGACGGTGTGTGGCATTACTGACTCATCCCTGTAGGGAGCGGTCTCACAGATCTGCTGAGTCTCTTGGCGGACACGGAAAAGGTTTATCTGTGTGTTAGTGACTGACTGTTTTGGACACCTGGTGTTGTCACTGACTCATCCATTCATATAATTTTCACCTCTGTCTTGCGCTTTACCCCCAGTGGAATCTGATTGGGCAGATAATCAAACAAAGGCTGATTATTCTCTGGCATTGTTGTGTTGTTATGTTGCATACAGAAATATTACAGCTTGATCATGGCATTCTATGAATAATCGGTGCCAGGCAGACAAGTGGTTGATAGCATGAACAACTGTTGAGCTGTAACGACCCACTGTCTTGTGGGTTTACATGAGTGAGTGAGTAAGTGAGTTGGGTTTAACGCCGCTTTTAACAGTATTTCAGTTATATCGTGGCGTGTCAGCTTAATGTGGGAGGAAAGCCCGAAGTGATACAGGTCTCAGACGTTTACCACTTCAGTGAAACCCACGAGCACAAACCTAGAAACATAATTCGGGCCAACCGGGATTCGAACCCACAATCATAGGTTTCTGGCGCGCCCAAGGGATGCAACTCTGCACAGCGAATCACGCGCCTTAGACGACTGGGCCACCCGTGCCCCCGGGTTTACATGAGGCCTATTCTGACCACAAGGGCATTAATGATTGAGGGAAAGTGGTGGGTTGGTAGATGGATGGATCGATTTATGGATAGATGGATGTGGAAGTGGCGAGATGGGTTGTTGAAGACCTATTCTATGGGTCCGATAAATGTAGAAGTGTTTGTTTGTTTGTCTGTTGTTTAACGCTGCCCTCAGCAATATTCTAGTTATATGACAGCATAATGTAAATAATTGAGTCTGGACCAGACAATCCAGTGATTGACATCATGAGCATCGATCTAAGCAATTGGGATATGATGGCATGTATCAGCCAAGCTAAACCTAGCCACCTGATCCGTAAGTCACCTCTTACGACAAGCATAGTCGCCTTTTACGACAAGAATAGTCGCCTTTTACGACAGGAATAGTTGCCTTTTACGACAAGCATGGGTTGCTGAAGGCCTATTAACCCTGGATCTTCACGGGTTGGATGTAGAAGTCATGGGATGCAGGTAGTATGCCTCTATGTACGTTAGGACTCTGTTGGATGGGACAGAGATGCAGGTATGACTTATCTATACAAGTGGCATCTATGGTTAGCATCAAAACGTGCTTCATATCGTGATTCCTTCCATTTTCCATGTGTAGTTTAGCTTAGGGATGCAACCAGAACCCTAACTTGAGAACAACACATGTATTTCTCATTAAACTACACAGATGAATGACCTGACAGGAAGTGAAATATGCACTTCCTACAAATGGTATTCTTGCCTCATGAAGTTCAATAGCTATAAGCTTAGTGATAGTCACTAGTATGTTAATGCATATCTTGCATGCAATGTTCTTAGCATCAAGTTGAAATTTTCAGGTTATTCGCATGAGGCAAGGTAGTACATATCAACCTTGCGATAGTTACATCAAAGGAAATGTTCACACTATCATCCAATCCCGCAGCTGTCAGCATGGCTTAAACCATCAAAACAGAGTCCTCAGGACTGAAATATTCCATGCAAATATCCTCCCGCTCAGAAATACACTAGCCAGGAATAGCTACTGGAAGCCTGACATGGCGACACTCCATTTATCAATACCCAGAGTAAGAGAGGTCATCTCACACTAACCAGCTGTAAACACACTGTCTCTATACAACATAGGATATCTCTATTGACAAGCAATACCTTATTCTATTAAATTGAATCACATTAGGGATGATTTACATTTTAGTTTAAACAACATTCATGCAATGACACAGATGTTACCAATTCCCTACACTGAAATACTATCTCACTGTATTTGGTACGCATAAATATGTACATACACATACAATTTTTGCAAATTTGCAAAATATAATAAATCTATAACTTACACTTGAAAATTTCTATAAGTTTGACCACCAGAACAATATCTGGCAGTTCAAAGAAAAACTCATTTAAGCCATTCCTTGCAGGAAGGGGCACACCTTTCAGGTACAAATGACACCATTCCTCTACACCTACCTGTAATTTCATCCCAAATACAATACACTCTCATTGTCATTCAGCTAAACCCGAGGCCTCCCAAACTTGCTGACTGTACAAAACAATGTGATCAGAAAGTTATCAAGAGAACATTGCATTTCCTGCCACGGAATCAACACCCAATAATTAGCACAGTGCATTATTTTCTTGCAATTTAATTTACAGAAAACAGAAACCTTGATCCCAAGCAGACCTGGAAGTAATTTAATTAAAGCATCAGAGTTAGGAGATAGATACTGCATTGTCAGGCCAGTTCCAGGCAAAGGGATGCAATCCATCACGAATCTATCTCATGCAAGCAGTTCAAAGCGTGAAACGGACACCAGCAAATCATGTTGTCTGCAGCAATTACAGTGTGTGCCACGCTTTACCTTCAGTTCTTCCTTGGTTATTGATGCATTTCAATTTCAGCAAAGCCTATGTGGCATTTGTGTGTTGACATGATCTGTTATTAGACAACCTTGTACCGGGATCCCCATCAGTGGGATGCTGGATGACAAGAGGGATTTCAAACCACTTTTGTTGCAAAGAATACATTTTTGCTT